GAATATTAGAAGGGGAGAAAGAGAGAGAGAGAATAATATGTTAGAAAGAAGAAAAGATGCAACACACACACACACACACACACACACACACACACACACACACACACATACACACATGGGTTAACCCCGCCAGGAGATGGAGTAGAGTGGGCGAAATGGTCTTGGCTCCCGAGAGGGGAAGGGAGACGTGTACGAACCAACAGAGAAAGAGAAGATAGACTTAAGGTAAACAGACTTGGAATTAGAGAGTTGACTTATCGATCACTATAAAGAAGGGGACAGATGTAGGAAAAGATAAAAAGTGGGAATGGGGAATTAAGAAGGGGAGATAAATAATGCAGAGCAATCGGATTGAAGATCAGGGCAAAATAAAGAGAGAGAGAGAGAGAGAGAGAGAGAGAGAGAGAGAGAGAGAGAGAGAGAGAGAGAGAGAGAGAGAGAGAGAGAGAGAGAGAGAGAGAGAGAACGGTTCCCTGGTGAGCGACGGGGAGGACGGGAAAACAGACAAACCTCGGAACCTGTGAAGATGAAAAATACTCCCTTGACAAAGAGAACAGAAACCTAGCAGAAGTAAGGAGCCAACATTCAGAGGTGAAAAACATGGTCGCGACACTCACAGAAGCAGCGGAGCGAGCAAGAATATCGAAAAACTTTAGTTGATGCTACCTGCTTGGTTAAGTGTGAGGAGGGGAAGGAGGAGGATGGTGAACCGTGATGTAGTAGCGTGATAGGGACACTGATAGGATAAAGACTATGAATTATATAGATGTTTACAATAAATATATATTTAAGGGATAATAATAAGATTATATAAGTTTTTTTATGTAAACACCAACAGCGTGGGGTAAATGGTATTTGGGAGTCATTTGTAAACTAATTCTAACTTTTAATTTATTGCGAATAATATTTATTAATTGTGCAGCACAGGTTATTTTTAATATACTTTATATAATCTTTATTACTTAAATAGCGTTACCATCAAACGTGTACAGAAGTCCTCTCTCCTATTGGTACATGTTCAAGTGTTAACAGTTGCTCGACAAGCCTTCTTCATCTTTTTTTTTATATATGTAAATGGTTCTTCTATTGAATATTCATAACCTACATTAGTTTATTCACATAAAAAATCTTCAGTTATGCAAAAAAGAAAATAGAAACGATACTAAAAAAAAGTGAAAAATATGAAGAAAGGTGAATATAATTTAAAGTTACAAATGAAGTCCTGAACACAATTGAAATAAAACTTGAAGGTGGAACATATTTTACACAGAGTAAGTGAAACAAATATAAGAAACTCAGCCAACGTAACATAACGTGTGAAAATGTTATCCATAAAACAATTTTAAGAAGTGGATTTGAGACCAGAGAAAAGATATTCCCAACGCGAGCACAAGACAGAGAAGAACTGTAAAACATAAATACTTCCCAGAGAAAAATCTGCACCAGGAACCACACAGAAAGGCTTTTCATGTTCTACAAGACGTCGAGGTGAATAATTTCTGCCGCTGGTCAGGCAGGATCTACAAAAAACTTTGGCCAGTGAAGATTTGTGAGGGAAGGCGAGCCGAGAGATTATAGGAGACACTGCAGGAGAGACTACGGAAGACAAAGCCAGAGAGACTAAAGGAGAGTCATTTAAGGACTCCATGAAACACTGTAGAGAGACAATAAGAAACAATGTAGGAGAGACGTCAGGATACACTGTAGAGAAGATGAAAGAGAGATGCGGGTGAAGGCACTGCACGAGAGACAACAGAAAAGATCCATGAGAGACTTACAATTTGAGATGAGAGGAGCAGTGGGACACCCAACACGTGGAGAAAGTGAAGAAGAAAACAAGAAAGACGGAACAGAATGACAAGAGAAAGATGGAAAACGAGAAGATGAATATGTAGAAAGAGAAAGGACTGATAAAACGTGTAATAAACGGCAATAACACAACATATCGAATAAAAGCTAAAAAGCAATGAATAAAGAAGAGAAAGGCCAGATATGAGGAAGGTGGGGATAGGATGCACGAGGTAGAATGGTAAATTAACTCAAGATTATAACAGATTGCAGGTAGAGAAAGTTTGAATGGCTCTCTAGCGGACGGGGTGATGACATATACTGCCAGAAGTTCTTGCCAATATCCTGGTTATATTTTGCCATGATAGTTGGTCTGCAGATACTGATATATTATTGATAAGAGATAAACCATATAAATTATATTACAAATTACGTAACCACATGAATTATTTACGTCAAATAAAACAAATATGGAAGTTTCATTATAAAGCAAATTATCTATTATATTCTAGGTGAGTGGAAGAGCCGATAGATGCCTTAACCACAGTGGTATTAAATGACAAACTTTATGATCATAAAGTTTCCTCAACCTTCATTTTATTTCTTCGTTTTAATACTATCTTCCTTCCCTTCAGTATCCGAGTTATGTTTATTTCGTGTTATTCCTCGTATCCACACACGCATTTACAGACATATCTCGAGAATGTGATCACGTAAAGGCTCATAGAATGGTGACCAAAATTATTGTACAGACATTTCACGAACGGTGTGATTTCTTTTTTATTATTACCCTAAATTGACCAAGTCAATAAACACAAAACACAAAAAATTGTCAGAGGTCAACATTCCCGTGTTTAACTTACCTTCCAGAGGTCAACATTCCCGTGTTTAACTTACCTTCCAGAGGTCAACATTCCCGTGTATAACTTGCCCTCACAGCAAAGAACCAAAACAATGTATCCGTATTGTACCATGTAGACATATATTGACCTTGTCTCGTTTAGGACATTTTACCCAATTTTTCACACTGGTTCTTATGATGGCCTTGTTAGTGTAATGTTCTACCATCACATCATCCTGTAATCACATCGTCGTCTGAGGTGATGTTTAGCTTGTTATTGTTAGAAATTTGTATTGTTAGGGCTTCTACACCACTGCCACACTAATAACATAACTACACCACCAATTCAATACAACACTACAATAATACAATGATTCAGAATATAACACACGAATACACTAATACGATTTCATCACAAGACAAACACATTGGCCATCAAAACACAATATCTCTATACGTTATTATTATTATTATTATTATCATTATTATTATTATTATTATTATTATTATTATTATTATCATTATTATTATTATTATTATTATTATTAATGTGTTTGGCTCTAGTGAAGTTGAGCTGGTGTGTTTAAATACCCAAAGGCAGGGAACATAGGGAGAGGGGAGAGGGGAGAATGAAGAAAAAAAGAGGGGAGAGAGGGAAAACGTGTGAGGGGAGAGAGGAATAGGGAGGGAAGAAATGCAAAACGAGAGATAGAACGCAAGGAGAGAAGTATTATAAGAGAGAGAGAGAGAGAGAGAGAGAGAGAGAGAGAAGAGTAGAAAGAAACATGAGAGAAGGAAGTGAAGCAATGCAAGAGGGGGAGAAGAAGATGGGCAATGAGAGAGGGAAGGAGATAAGATAGAGAAGGGCGAATGAAGGTAATGGAAGAGGAAGAGATGTGTGACGGAATAAGGGAGAGGTGTGATAGGACAAAAGGGGAATTAAGGAGATGGGTAATGAGAGTTGTATGGAAGGAAGGAAAGAAGGAATGGTAAGAGAGAGGGGGGAATAGGTGGATAAGGCAGGAAGAAAGAAAGAGGAGAAATGTGAGAGGGGAGAATAGAATTGAAAGGAGAGAGAAAGAGAGAGACAGGGAGAGAAAGAGAGAGAGAGGTCTGAGATAGAAGATTGGATAAGCGAAAGGGGAGAAAAGAGATAGGAGAATATAAAGGAAAATGAAGGAAGGGAGAGAGAGAGAGAGAGAGAGAGAGAGAGAGAGAGAGAGAGACGGAAGAAAATATGTAAGGAGAATAGCAAAAAAAGAGGAAAGAATAATAAGTAAAAGGAAGAGGGAAACACGAAGTCATTAAAAAAAATAAATAAATACAGAGTCATGGGTAAGGATTTAGCCATTAACGATTGAGTACATATCATGAGTACAAAATCATGAGTGAGAGGAATTACAGTCATAGGTGAGTACAGCATCACGAATACAAAAAGTTCAAACAAGGAGATAGAGAGAGAGAGAGAGAGAGAGAGAGAGAGAGAGTCAAGGGAGAAGAGGAATAAAGAGGAGATTAGTAGGGTAAATAAGAGAGGAGAGAAGATACAAGAAAGGGGAAGAAGAGGTGATAAAAGAAAGGAGATAAGTAGGACACGGAAGAGAGGCAATGAGGGGAGGAAGGATAAGGTTAAAGGTGATGAGGGGAAGAGAGACATAGAGGAAAAGAGATGACTGACGTAGTGGAAGAAGAGAGAGAGAGAGAGAGAGAGAGAGAGAGAGATTGTGTTAGGGTAGGTTAGGTTAGGGTGTTTAATCATCAGGTGAAATAAACAAGGGAGAAAATCTTCTGGTGATCCTATATTTAGTCACGAAGTCAAAAAAAAACAAAAAAAAACATGAATAACAAAATCAAAACTGATGACCAATAAAATTCTTCATAATTAATAATAATTTTTATCCGAATGTGAAAAAAAATATTCTAGTTATTTATATTAAAAATATGTTCTTTGTACGATATCACATCAATCACTGTGAATGTTATTTTATATGCTTCACAGAAAATAACATTAATTTAGATGTGGATTCCCAGAAGTTGTAACCGTAATAGTCTGTCAGTGTAATAAACATATCACGAATTTTTAGAACCTGCAGTTTGTTTATGATTGTACACTGATGTATTTCAATGGCAAATAAATTGATCTGAATTGATTTGCATGACAATTTAAAACCAGACTATTAAAAGTAGTTCATCAGATCCCTTGTAACTCTTGCCAGGGGACACATGACCCCGATTTTGGCTTCTGGACCTGATTTTAATTGTCTGAGGAATTAAAACTTATTTTTAATACATTTAGTGGAAAAAAAAGAGAAACGATTATGATGACTTGTGAACATGACCTTGATATAGTAAGGTAAGTAATAAGCGCAAACCCATATAAACCTTTAATGAAACACAGATGACGCACTAGACGTGGTGATGAGTCGCCACTGAACAAATTTACCTGATATACAATACTAAATAAACATGTAGAAAAGTTTACAGAAGAGAGTCATGGGAGGGAAAAAAAACACATCTTGAGAGTTGTTGAGTTCCTTGAAAACTTAGAACTATGAGAAAAAAGTAGAGGATTACTTATGATAATTAATACCAATATAATAACACTTGACTACTGTCGTTCTCAGACGATGGGTCATAGACAGATTTTACCTCACCACATAAGTATTTTGTAGACTAGGAAGATGTTTATAATAACCAATAAAGATGTCTTACAGATTTAAGGTAATATTGATACGTGTCTGTGGGTGTGAGCAGCCATCAAACACACTATATATATACCAACACTTACTGAAGGAAAGAAAAGACTTAAGTAACACATAATAATTAAGGAATATCTAGTTTACATAAAACCTCTGACAGAAGCTAACAGTTTATGGATTTATATACAAATGGACATAAAAAGTGATTGGTTATACACTGTCTGGAACGAATTATTTACATTTATTTACACTCGTATGTTCTGAGTTGTTGTTGTTGTTGTTGTTGATGATGATGTTGTTGTTTTCATTAATTATAGCAATCCGTAAAATTCTAAACAATACACTAATTACAGATGTACATGAAAAATATATCCAAACATACATCATACACAGCCAAGCTGTGACAGCATCTGTCTGTATATCTGACTTTGAGACCAAGAACTTCGGTGGTTGGTGAGTAATATACTGTACAAGTCGAGAGTCACTCACCGCACAACCTCATCTTAATCCCTTGTACTTCAGTCATAAAGACAAACCAACACGCCTCTGCTGAACGTAATGTCGCTACCGGCTGTATCAAGATACCATTGAGTTTATAACACCAACAGTAGATTATTTCAGTATTTAGACATTGATCTGTCACTGGATGCTTGCGGTATATGCGGGGAGTTCATATGCCTGCCAGAGGCCGCACAAGTCAATGAGAGGTTTGCCTAAGTTCGCCTTCGCTTCAGAGGGCATCTGTGGTGCCTCAAAGGCTTTATGAGCTATGTGAACCGTGTACTGTATGTGTGTGTGTGTGTGTGTGTGTGTGTGTGTGTGTGTGTGTGTGTGTGTGTGCAGGTATGTCTGTGTACGCGCGAGCGCAGCTTAGATCTTGGTCACGACAGTTTAGAACATCCATTTGGAAGAGACGGAACTAAAAGTAAAAGTTTGGTCGAGTAGTTGATGGGACGTACAATAGTTCCTTATCCTTCCTCATTGTACACATTTGTTCTCGAAATAAAAAATTGGTAAAGATACTGAAAGTATAGAAAACACATTCCCCCAACCTCCAACCACAGCCAAAATACTCCTCACCACTGACATCCTTGTTATTGATCTTACAATGAATGAGGAAGATAAAGCATGAATGTTGTAGGTGTTGATATTCGCTATTGATTCACTGAGAATGCTGGTTGGTTTTAAAGGCGTCATTAAGGACGTTTTGCAAAGATTGGTACTTCATCTCGTTCCTGGGAGAGCGATTAACTAAATGGCACTTCGCTAATATCTTCGTTTAATATCTTGGATCATGTCATATGTGGCAGCCGTACGACGCTTCATTAACTCCTATTCCTAAACCTTCTTCAAAATATCATTATGGTCAAAAATAATATCAAGACAAATCAATAATATAATATACATGAAAAAAAGAACATTTATTCTTTACCAATTTAGTTTCCTCAGTGATTAAACTCGTATTGCAATGTTCGTTTTGTTTCTGTTTAGAGCAGAAGACCGTGGAGGTGTTGGACAAGACGTGTGAGCTTTTATGTGACACGTGTTGCTGGTGTTGAGTCCCCGTGTGAGTGTGAAAGACCAGGGGAGCGTCTATCATCTTTTTGGGAGCTGTTTACCCGCCAGGAAAATATAATAATTATGAACTCGTTAAGAAATAAATTATAAATAAATTAATTGGAGAATGAGTTAGTTGTTTCTGAGCTAATTATAAAATTTTACGTAGGTCCAAACGCATAGTTTTTGTAGGTTATAGTAATTAATTTTGATTTGTTGCTGTAAAACTCAAGATGTATCTAAGAACTTGAATACCTAAATAAAAATGAATAAACACAGTAGTTAAATAATTTTCAACTGATGAATACATTAATTCATTAACTAATATAATCATCGCGTCACCATAACACATTGGCTATATATCAAAGGTGAATGAATCTCCTCCGTTATAACCTTCTATATCTGCTATGTCCCAGAATCATCACGTTAGCTGCTACGTAGTATTGACTTATCGATCATTAATTACAGTTTATGAGCATTTGACTCCTAATTTCGTGAATGAGTACCAGTTTGCCAGTAGTTAGTGTGAGGTAGGAGGAAAATAACGGGATTAGCATTTTCTGATTTTTCCACATTTATCCTCTGGTTAACGGTACCACCACCAGATGGCAACAGTGAGGGGAGTAAACACTAATCAACAGTTGATTCCCGGGTAGTGTCAATGTTGTTTCCTTAATACATTCTGCCTCTCAAGTATATTCCATTCCTTAAACTATTGTATGAAGTGATATTATACAGTAGGAATTGATCTTTTTTGACTCAGTTTGTTGAAGAGATTAAACCTCTCATGGCACTAAATAACTTCATTGACACCATCTGACACGGCAAGAAGGATGGGTTGACGTGGGTGGACCTGTTTGACGCAGTTACATAATTGAGTTGACCTCTTGTGACACAGTGAAATGGGAAATTTGACATAGCATGATTGTAAGGTTCCTGTGTTCAGTTCATATACGACAATAATTTGATTGATGTTGACCTCGTATGACTGGTGAGGCGGGTGGAATGAATTCCCCCGACAGAGTGAGTTGGGAGTTTGATATTCCCTGACAATATGAGAAGTATTCAATGACCAGTTGAGTGTTTTAATCTCAAATTACACGTCAACACCACTCGATAGTCAAAACAGAATTGTTCGTTTGACTTGATAGCGAGATTTACAAGTGACGTATAAAGATAACCCGAGCAGAACACACGTGACTCTTGACACAGCTGCAGCAGAGACGCGGCCTGAGGAGACGTGAGAGTCGTAGCCGCCTCCTTACTTACTCCCTATGTAATTATCCTCACCCAACTCAGGTATAAACATTGTCTCAGAATCACAGCTTAAATATTGTATATCCTGGAACACATTTACACATATAAAACACTATACCTATTAAATATAATTACTCAATATTTTGGACAAATCACCATCGTGAGGCACGGAGCGTTGTCTCCTGAAGTCCACAGCTTCTTCTCATCTTAAATTATTGAAGTTAGTCTGTCTGTCATTAACTTTTACTGACACCGCTTCATTATTTTTCATTTATATGTGGCTTATTGTCTTGCCATATATTTTGTTTTATTTAGATTGTTTCAGCACTTCACTAATTTTCGCAAGCTGAGGAATACATTTCGTGAATCAGTTTTTTCCTCAGTTTGCACTTAAAGAGTTATCTCATAGAAGAAAAAAAAATAACCAACTATTTATTTTTGTTCTGTTAATCACACCTTAGAATGCCTTATTACCGCCGTTGTTACAACGCGTATGGATATATTAGGAATACAGAACATCGATAGGATTCTTTACTTTAAGTTATTACACTTTATTCAACGTATTTATAAGAACGTCGTGTAGCCAGGCGATCATCTGACTGGGAGGAGGTGGGCGAAAAAGGCGACCCAGCACACGCAAAATGTGGCGACCAGCCTGACGGCGGAGGAGGTGCTGTCTGCCGCGGTTGATGAGTGACCTCGACGTTGTACCGCCGCCACTGTGTCGCCCGCTGTGGAAGACATAGAAAGCTATTAATTATTATGCATACATATTGTTCAGTTATGTGCTGCGCTGCTACAGTCCCTTTACCTGCTGTGGAAGACCTGAGACACTGTTTATGAATATTGTGTTGCTGTGTTTTGAGCTGTATTGTCGCTGTATATATTGTAATGCTTTGTTTCGTTCTGTATTGCTGACATTGTGTTGCCTTGCTGTGGAAGAGCTGAGAGCCTGGGAGTATCTGTTGTATGCTGTGTTGCGTGTTGTCCTTGCCGCCAGCACGCCTCCTGCTGTGCCAGACAAAGAGAGGTTGTTAGTGTCCGCTGCTCCACCTTGACATATCCAGCGTGTGACCTCGTGCCAGGGGGGGTGTCATTAATGCCTGCTGTGTCTTTGTTTACACTAAATGACCTGTTGTTGTTCCATCGTAGCACCACATAATAGATTCACCTTCGTTGTAAACAAAAGTGACAATGTCCACACCCGTGTTCACACCGGCACAAGTGACCATCGTACAGGAACACTTGACACTAAGAAATAATATCATAACTGGTACCGATTTTCACTTCACTGAGCGGAGGTGATTATACACGAGAACAACTCACACCTGATGAATATGTTGATAGTCGCTTCATACCTCAGCACGAAACACCCAGTTGGATAAGAGACACAGTGAGTGATAGATGAAGATAATAGTTTCTCTCTCACGACAACGAATAAAATAAGATAAATGACCAACAGACAAAGAAATTAAGGAACTAAATGATTTAATGTGTATGCAAATGACAATGTAAACATTCTAAATAGATAGTGAATCAATCCAGTCATCTGCAGCAGTTACGTTTTTATTTTATTTTTTTGTGTGTGGTCGTGGTGATGGTAGTGGTGGTGATGGTGTCGTGTAGTAATGCCAGTGTCGTGTGTATGTGGCCAGTGGTCTCCCCTCCACGCCCCCGGCAGGAATAATTGACCAAAGCCTCTCCAAACCTAACGGATCACAACAACAAAGCTTCCAACCATTAGGAAACCTTCTGGAGGCAATCAGAACAACTACAACCAAGACAGCAGCATGACCATTAGGGGGACGGTAGAGCCACTGAAATTTTTACAAGAATGAACGAAAGATTAAAAAATCTTACTGCTTAAGATACCATCAACCTTAGGGCAATCTAATACTGTCTGACAACGTGTCTCAACGCACTAACGACAGGGGGGGGGGGGTCTGGGCCCTTAGAAGTAACGCCTTGATCTACATTCATAACAAGCGTTTCTTTGGCAATGAGCGGGGACCAACTATGCTCGCGCGTGTGGGTGTCCATAAGGAAGTCGTGCAAGACATTGAAGTTAGGAGCCTGACCGTCGCTCACTAGCAACATTTAACACCTTACGTATCTGATTGACACTCGGATTGGATCATAATGCTGACCCTGAAGGACGGTGGACAGCTGGTGTTGTATTATACATATTTTTAAACTTCCTGGATGACCTGAGCTACAGACTCGTTGAAGCCACCAGAATCTTCAAGGCATTTAACTGTAGGTTTCAGCGCCTCAGTTTAGCAATCAAGAGCGGGAATACGTGTTGAATACCTGGTACACGCCCCTTGTTCGAGCCAAGAGATAAAGTATGAACTAATGTTATATAAAATAAAACATTATTTGATAGATCACAATGCTCGTAGGAGGAGACGATCTTCATATTATGTTAAGGTAAATTTTTATCCCGAGTATTCCATCAACGAATTGTGTTCTCCGAGGCTAATATTTCTGTCTTCAGAAATCGGTCTTGGCGGTCTTGACTACTTAAATTAGTTTATATTTTAATTGTATTTCTTTAACAAAATAATTAGTTCCGGTAAAGCGTTTGTTTGTACCTGGTGCAGACCATGAGCACAGTGTGATCACAGCGGCCCATTACATTAACTCCACGATATATCGGCCTCCAATAAACGTTTTAACTATGCAAAATTATAATTACATAACATTAGTCGTAAGTGATGGTGTCGTAGTGTGGAAACGTCAATACATAATATCATTATAGCAGATTATAACACTCACAAATTCTCAGAATTATTTTTGTACACAGTATTAACTTTTTTGATAGATTTTATGCAACAGTTCTCCTGATTTTATATAATTGTTTGACTAGCATAAAAAATAATATTGTAATTGTGTTTTTAGGGTTATAATATGTTTTCCTTAGTTTACCATCAACATAACAATACTTGTTTTCTGTGACTACCCGCCCTTCACTGCCATTTTTTCTAACTGTGTAATGGACTCGGTGATGACATTCCACCTTCAGAAGGGCAGTTTAACTGACAAGTAAAACATGGCTAAAACAGATAAAGGTGCATGATGTAGTTGTACATTAAGAAGTGAGAAAATATTATACATGTAAACATTTGAAAGTTCCTGATGTGGAAGGGCTGGCAGTTGGATGATTGAGGAGTGAGTGGAATGGAGATGAATGACGAGAGAGCTCAGCTAAATGAAACATGTACGAGGTAGGGAGGAATGATAAAGAGTGACGTATGTTACGAGTGGGAATGAAAGGTGCGGGAATGATGAATTCGACTTCACTGGCTCAGCGCCCATGGAAATAGAGATAGGAAATGAAAGGTGAAGAGAAATCTCAACTGGATCCCACGTTGTAAGAAAAGATACAGGAAAAAATGGCTACCAGAAGGTTTATATGAAGTTAATTAGTATGGAAATGTTGGAAGAGTAAAAAATACTCAACATATAAAATTGTGAGAACATGAGAAGGAGGCCGGTTGTGAACTGATGGAGGCTGATGATGATGATGATGATGATGATGATGATGATGATGATATTATACCAAGTGAAATTCTGAGCTCGTTCCCCAAATAATAATGATAAACAAACAAATTAGATAATAACATGGATAAAATTCGGCGCAACAAAGTTTTAATTCTGCCCCCAAAATGTTAGAATGTCACGTAAATTTGATTATCAACCAAATAATGCTCTAACAGACGTACCTTTCCCGTATATATATATATATATATATATATATATATATATATATATATATATATATATATATATATATATATATATATATATATATATTAAACAATAATAAAAAATAATATAAGACACATACAACAGTGTTTAACTTTAACTAGTACATATTTTTATCAACATCTGCTACTTGTTGAGACAAAAGGTGGGAAATGTGGTAAATATATATACACAAAAATTCAAACCAAAATCTAAATAATTTGAATTACCTCAACATTGTTATCAGTTCATTATTATACTTATTAAACACCGGCCTGGCTTAGCACTGCACTGGACTATTAATCAAGTCCTGCTTAGAAATATCGTAAATAAGTTAAGGATTCTATGTTCATTTCAGTGAATTACTTTCTCCTGGAAATTACAACTGGATTATACAGATAAAAATCCATCGATACCATCAAATTCAATATAAATTCTATTATTGTGTTGGCCATTTTTATAGTTACCTTAGAGTCGTTCAACTTGAGTATCAATGGAATAATTATACATATAGGAAAGTGAGAGAACATAGAGAGAGAAGAGAGAAAGTAGAGAGAGTAAATTTGGAGAGACAATGTAAAGTAGAGAATAGTAGATGTTAAGTTAGTTATTAGTTAAGTGTGAAATTAGCTCTTATGACTACACAAATATTTATCCCTTAATAGTACGTCTGCGGAATCACATAAAGATTTGCTTCCCCCCCCCACCCCACCCCAGCTTATTACACACATAAGAAAATAAGCAGTCTGCAATAGGCCGATTGGCCTGTGCTGCACACGGTGTGCATGGCAGCTCCTGTCAAGAGTTACTACCACTCTCTATCATCCATGAATCTATCTAGCCTCCTTTTAAAACTTTCCAGCGTTCCAGCACTTACTACAAAGTTGCTAAGCTTGTTCCACTCGTCCACCACCCTATTTGTGAACCAGTTTCTTCCTGTCTCCCTCCTAAACCTAAACTTATCCAACTTAAATCCGTTGCTACGAGTCCTACCCTGCTCGGATATTATAAGAACTTTATCTATATCTCCTTTATTGATTCCTTTCACCCACTTAAATACTTCTATCATATCTCCCCACACTCTTCGTCTTTCTAGGGAATGCAAGTTTAGTTTCTTTAATCTATCTTGATATGGAAGGTTTCTAAGTCCCGGAATCATTTTCTTCATTCTTCGCTGCACCGACTCCAGTGAATTGATATCCATTCTATAATATGGGCACCAGAGCTGAACAGCATAATCGAGGTGCGGCCTAACTAGCGCAAGATATAGTTGCAATATGACCTCCGTACTCACATTACTTACACTTCTAGATATAAAACCTAATACTCTGTTTGCCTTATATCGAACATTAACGCACTGTTTTCTAGGCCGTAGTTCCTGGCTTACAAGTACCCCTAAGTCTCTTTCACAAGTCGACTTCTCTAGGTTGATGTTGTTAAGGCTGTATACTGTACATTGACCGTATTTATTCTTCCAATATTAAGCACGCTGCACTTGCTGGTGTAGAATTTCATTTGTCATTTTTCTGACCACTCTGCAGTTTATTTAATCCTCCTGTAGTGCATATGCATCCTGCCCTGAATTAATCTGCCGCCCTATTTTGGTGTCATCCGTAAACTTGCTTATGTCACTGCTGATTCCAGTATCTAGATCGTTTATGTAGATTATGAACAAGAGTCGGTCCAGTACTGACCCATGGGGAACCCCACTGGTTACACAGCCTCACACAGATTTAACACCATCTACACTGACCCTCTGTGTTCTATCGGTGACCCACGATTTTATTCAATTTAAAACTTTCCCCTCGATACCATGAGCTTTAACTTTTCTCAGAAGCCTCTGATGCGGTACTCTGTCAAACGCTTTGCTAAAGTTTAAGTAAATAACTTCGTAATTTTCGTCATTATCTACTACAGATTTCAGATTTCAGATTTGCCCCCGAGGGGTCTAGTTTATTGGGCACCCCCTTACATCCTGTGCAAG